TTATCAATTTTTATCAATTCTTTATTAAGTTATAAATAAAAATATAATTGCAATTTTTTTCTTAACACACTGTATATTTAAATTTTTATTTAATTTAGATAATTGTTCATTAAATTATAGGTAAAAAATCTTGTTCAATTATTTTTGACCCAATATACATGTAACTATTAATATAATGATAAATTCTTAAATTTCGATAAAAATTATATATATAAAAAAAAAAAATTAATTATTTGATATCGTTACTTAATGATTTTTCCATCTAGCCGATAGAAAGTATTGTAAGCCCTTTTTGGGCGTTTATTCAACACTATACAATATTGTGTAACTGATAGAACTATCTAGAAAGTTGTGGACGAATACGTAGTATAAAACAAATCAGCTAATTAAAAAATCAAAACAATCCATTATTCCTTTTTCATTTATAACGGTATTTTCAGTTGAAGTACAAAATGAAAGTTGAAGAGACGGTTAAAGAGACATACTACGAGATTCTAGGTATTGAAGAAAATGCAACAGAAGACGACATACGCAAAGCATATCGACGTCAAGGTTTGTTCTTTTTGAATTCGAATGCTGTTTATTGAACTTCCTTGATCTAGTGTCGTTTCCCTCTCACGATCCATTTATAATTAGCTTTACTATGGCATCCTGACAAAAATGCTAATAGACGTGAAGAGGCTGAAGCTAAATTTAAATTGATTGCTGAAGCTTACGAAGTTTTAAGCGATGGTAGGGGATTTGAATATTATTAAATTCCCATGTCTTTGGATTCTAATTAACTTTTTTTTATATTAAGCCGAAAAAAGAAGAACGTATGATTTATATGGCAAAGAAGGCCTTAAAAATGGAGGTCCAGCATTTGAAACCAGAACGGGACCATTTCCACACTTTCAAGTATGGAAACAAAATTTTCTTGATCAATATTTTTTTGATATTCAAATACAATTAAAATTCTATAATTTTATTTTAGTTCCATGATCCAAACGAAATATTTAGGAGATTCTTTGGAAATGATCCCTTCAGTATGCATTATTTTTTAAAAAAATCAGTAAATTCCTTGCCGAATAATTAACAAAATTCGGTTATTACCATTTAGGTGATTCTTTCTTTTCTGATCCATTTGGATTTGGTATGCCGAGACCCCAATTTTTTGGTGGCTCCATGTTTTCCGAACCCATGTTTGGTCAATCTATGTCATCGACGACATTCCTCTCGTCAAGCAGCTCATTTGGAGGCAATGGTGGATACAAAAAAACAACTACAACACAAATAGTTGATGGTGTTAGGACAACAGTGACTAGAATAGAAGATGCAGATGTGAGTCTGAAAGCAGTAAACATTCATAATTTGCTATTCTGCGTATTTCAATTTTTAATTTAATAATCAATTGAAAATTAAAGGGAAATATTTCCGAAGAGACGATAAGGTCTCAAGACACAGGAAATTTAAGGATGAATAACATGCAACATCATTTTATTCAAGACAACTATAATACTCGGAGAAATATACCAATCCAAGATGGGAACATGTATTATTCTCCTGTTACCATGCAACAACCAGGATACAATATTCAATATGAAGGAGAAAGTAGAGATCAACAACAACATTATGAATCTCAGCAAGAACTGCCGCACCGTAGGATGAGTGGAGGAACGTCTTCTTCAAACAATAGAGGTAAAAAGCAGATTGATGTTAGTTCGATTTTATTACGTAATTTATACTTATTTGCATTTTATTCTTAGAAAATAATTCTGGGACAAAATTCAGAGGTTTTAATACTTGGAGAAAATGAATCTTTATTTTATCCTTCCCTTATTTTATTCTATTTTATTATTTTTATTATTATTTCAATAGAATAAGTGAGTACTTTTTTCACGTTACTTGATGTTAATTATTAGTAAATACATTGTTGCACTTTTACACTATTATTATATCTTTAGTTCAACAGACTTAATTGATAATCAAAAATTCTTTCATTTGCATATTTCTGTTGTATAATAGTTTTGTATGGAGTTACGAAAACGATAAGTTTAGTTGTCTTTGATCAAACTAAATGACTATTTGTAACATATGGCCCATGTAATTTATAGCGTTCAGTACATGCGTTAACGCGTAGAATCCGTTTACTGCATGATCATTATAGAAAACAAGTTCCATCAAGTCTTAAGTTCTTTTTTGAGCGAGATTTATCGAATAAAAAATTTTATTTGAAATAATTTTAATGAAAAAATATATTTTTGCTATTGTTAAAGTGAAAAATGAATTATCTAAATAATAAGAAAAATGAAAGTAAAATGAAGTAGAATATAAAAAGTAATATGATAGATATGCAAAAGATATCTAGTATTTCTAGTATATTCTAG